AGGACGTATTTTTGCGATTTATCAAACTTGATTTGTTCCTTCGCACTCGAGATTATTCTTAAGCAAGATATCGCCTTTTAAAAAATCATAGGGTCTGGGCAAAATACGATTGATTGAAATTTATTTTATTGCATGCGGCTCCGCCAGTAGTTTCAGAATGAAAAAGAAGGCACATCACGCGCACAATTGACTGTGTTTCGATTTTACAGTTACCGGTACTACGATGAATAACCAAATAACCAAACACCAAAATTTGTGATTTGCAATGCTTATAAAAGCGTTTTTAATCTGACATGAATCTGCTGAAACCAAAATTATATATAATCTTCAATTTTAAGTTTTTATATATTTTAGAATGCCGATTTTCAATCAGGAAATTTGAGCTGCGGATTTATCCCCTTATTGATTATTATCTTTAGCATTTCGTCGCCGATGACTATAATATGGTAACATGTTTTCACATTGAACTCATAATTCCCCACGGGAACAAAAAAGCAATTATCGTCGTCATCATGGAACAATACATGTATATGCCGAAGGAAATTTTTGATTTAGGGAGAATAAAGACAGGCGTTAAGATGTTAAAAAACATGCCATGCTGACAAAAGCAATTGGCAATCGTAACAAAATGCAATCGCGCACGTTATTAGCGGCTTTTAAGTCTTCCGAAAATGTCAAAAAAGAAAAGATTCGACCAATAATTTATTAATATACTTGTCAAGTGTCAAATTTACAGCTTTAGTATATATAATTTATCTTTGAAATTTAGATTTATTTATTACTTGTATTAACCCTATTATAAAGGATTAGCATTCAAATTATGTAAAGTACTTTTAACTTACTCAGGAATATTAATCGGAAAGTAACAGTTTTAACATTTCTTTTGAGGTTCCGTGAATAATAGCCAATCTTCTCAAGGGCTCCGCAACACCAAAAGTCTGAGAACCCCTGGTATAGACAACGAAATGGATCTTCAGTCATATTCCACTGTTTTCAAAAGATTCGGAACGTCACGCAATGTGGATATCATCTATTGATTGGCAGGACTGCTTGGTGTCAAGTCCAGAAGTCATCTCGCTTGTGTATCACTGTTTGCGGACAGCAATTCGTTGATGGTGAGTAATAATGTGCCGTTATCAATTTCTTTAAATATTCAAAAGCTTCCTCATTTCAATAGAAAGCAGATGACAAACTACTGTTATTAGTAGGCCTACTTGCAGACTTGACTTGGGTAAGGAATTAATCATCAATTGCAATAAGGTATTGTTTCCCTAGTTAGCAGGTAATCTATTAGTAAAAGTGAAAAGTTGAATAGATAACCCATATTAATTGATGAATTCGGCGTATTGAATGAATTTAATTTTATCCCAAATCATAGGCTACCATATTGATGTTGTGCATGGGAGCTTGGTATGGTCTAATACAGAAATAAGTTAACGAAGGATAGGCATGACTAGAAGTTGATGAAGCAATGGGGATGAATGAATGCAACAAAAGGTGGAGATCATTAAAATATAGGTTCAGGAGAGAATGCCAATGGGGGTTTTAAAAAATGGGATTTTTGGCCTCTAAAAGGAAATACCTGTAATTATATTGCCAACAAGCTATATATATCTTCAATCGCCGGATTGTGATGGTGTTGTAATAAAATGTATACAGATAGCTATATATATATATATATATAGCTCAAAAGCGATCGAAACTAGTTTTTACACAAGCCCTGATAAGTGTAGAAAATTTTGTTGGGATTTCACGCTATCCGTCCGGACTAGGCCCCATAAAAAATGCTCTGTACGAGGGGTGCCCAACCTTCTTTCGACCACGATCAACTCAAATTTTCAAAATAGCTTGCGATCGACTGATCGGTAATAAAGTCATACACAAAAACGAATGATTACTAAATGAGTAGATAACTGCACACACGCATACAAAAATGCCACCGCTGCCAATAAAGTATATCAGTATATCAAAATACATATTCATCGCCTCGGAACGGTTTCTGAAATAGTCGCCACAAAGAGCCGACTTTTTCAACGGATAATGATATTTTTTTGCGCTAAGTCATCAATACATACGGGTATATTTAAAATGCATTGCTTTAGGTGATACATTGCGCTCACAATTGACTGTTTCAATTTACAGTGACTGTATGGTTTCTAAAAACAATTAAAATGATTATTTAATAACTGGCCTTTCCCGCTGGTTTCCTATTTCCGTACAAGAAAAAAAGTAATTATATATTATTATTCCTCTAGCACAAGATATATATATATATATATATATATATATATTGAGAGAAATTTGTGATTAAGGAGGACTAAACACCGAAGTAAACTTGTTTACCCATTGAAAAACACGTCACGCTGGCGAAAACAATCGTCAATTTTATCAAAATGCACACGTTAGCGTTACTAGCGATTTTTCATTCTTACAGAAATTTTAAAGAGGGTCGACCCCGAACTGTTACCGTTGCAAATAAAATTATCAGAGTGAGACAATAGGTTTCGCAAAGAGCAACAGAGGTTTCAAAAAATTTACCTGATGCACAGAGATGGGGATGGGAAAAAGTTGGAGACAAAATTTTACCAAGATGAATGACTATCCCTGGAGCAGCAAAAATTTGCACAGAGCTGATTCATTGTGGCTGCAAGAAAGGTTGTGCTGCTCGCTGCAAATGTGTCCGTGCTGATTTAGCATGTACACCACTATGTTTCTGTGATGGGGATTGCGGAAATAACGACTTACATTGCAAAATTGATCAGGGGATGCTACTGTACATGTGTGCCAAGTTTCATGCTTGCATCCAAAAGTGCAGGAGTATATATCTAAATAGTAAAATCGCCCCCACTAGTTATTGGGGAGTCTTTGTGGAATATATTTTTGGAAAATATAATTATTTCAATCGTTTTTCTATTTATTTCTTTTTGTAGCATTTACATAAAGCGACGTTAGATATAGATTAAAATAATCAACGATTCCAGCCGAGTTTGAGCTGAAATGTAATGCAAGTTTTCCGTTTTTATCTGACTGAGATACTAATGTCAGAGTTAAGAGAATGAATTTATTTTTATCAATATATATATATGATGACGATATGATAGCTCCAAGATAACAGTAATCCGTCAGTTATGAGATATAAATTTTATATTTTCACCAGCTTAACGAGGCTAAGATTTTGAAAGTATACCATTGACGAGGGCAGTTAATTGAGCACAAACGGAATTACATTTTGAAAGTGAATGTAGTTTAATTTGTGATTCATGACAATAACATAAAATACAGGTTGTGCGACTTATAATCGTGTTTGGTCAATAACGATACCTCGTTTCCATGGTAACAGGTATTCTGTTATTAGGGGAAATAGTCAAAATGCACTTCTGATCATATTTTTCACTTCTTATATACATATTGGTTTACTTATCTTGAAAATATCCTTTCCTAAAGTAATGTTTATTTCCCTTTAATAGCAATACGGATGGTGCCTCGTTTCCATGGCAACGAGGTATTTTCTTGGATGGCACCATATCCAAAATCTTGTAATGTGTGCCAAGTTTCATGCTTGCATCCAAAAGTGCATAATTTCATCATATTCGAAGTCTTATCCGCTGGACTACCGGGGATTGAATGAAACGTAAAGTGTGCATGAAGAAGGTGGCATTTTTGAAGAAAAATGGGAGTTGCAATATTTCTGCATTTTTCAAAAGTCTGAAGCTCATTATTTGATTTGTCACCTTTCCATCAGTACTTAGGGTTAGTTCGGATACCTATAATATTTATTATCCGGATAACGGATATATCCGGGTATTCCATACTTTAACTACCCGGTTAATCGGATAGTTACTGCTAAATTTAGAGAACCGATTGCACGAGATTTTCGCGGTGAATTGACCAAAAACTACCTGACATCTATTGTGAAAAGGTCAAATTTTGAAATGCTACACAAATTACATGGAATCCGAAGTGTTGTAAAATAAGTCCTCAAAATTCAAACTGGTTTATTCCATCATGAAATCCGTTTCTTCAATACACGCAACAACCAAAAGTCACACCCGACCAAAAAGCAATAAACTCACATGCCAGACGTCAGGTCATATGTAATAAAAAAAAATTGAGTTTATTCTGTAGTATTTTTGTAAATTTTAGGTCTATATATTTAGATTAATTCCTTTTTAGTGTATGTATTGATCTTTTCTTACCAAAAATTTGTTCAAAAATGTTTTGGATAGTTGTACATAAATAATTATGATTTTTTGTAATAAATACAGTAAATTGCAATGATAGTGAAATGCAAAAAATTTAATTGCATCACAATATATGTCACAAACTACACCTATCTAAAAATATGCTCTAATTATACATTATCAAAGCATATCAAAAAGCACAATTCCCCAAATACAATGCGGCCATCGAAACCCCTACGAGTTTGACACCCCTGCTCTATCAGGCTTGCCAAGTGACGAATACTGTATGAGTGTGTATGACGTATTTGCAAATGTGCAGTACTGTATTCTTTCTGTTTTAAAACACACAACAAGCGCTGCATGGAACTTGTTCAAGGTAATTTTTTGGGGTATGTTATTAAATGCACTCAACTTCACCCGCGATCGACTACTCGAGACGTGGCGATTGACATGTTGGCCACCTCTGCTCATATACTGAGCCTCGTTCGAAGCGAATGTGTGGATGACGCATATAATGCTCAACTGTTTGGGGTTATGTCACAAAGTCGGTGTTACATACGTTAGATTTTCACATACTACGTGATTTTTCTGGAAAGCGCATTGATGCAACAACACGCATTATATTCACGTAAATTCAAATTATTCTTCGAACTGACGTAATGATAATCGATTCGATTTTAGAAGTTAAACCGTGCATAAAGATTGACCTCTTTTGTTAATCAAAGTTTGAAAATCATTCTTTACGCAATGCGCGCACCGTGATTTTGTATGTGCTCATCGATTATAAGTTGTCTCTATGCGTGGCTATTAGTACCAGCTTTTTCTAGAAACGGAAGCAAAGAAGTAATACTGCACAGGTTTCGATAAAAAATTACAGGGGGAAAACACGTTTATGATGTGCAATTCACTAAAAGCATACAAGGTGGTCAATCAGTGTGTAGAAATATTTCTTATTGGTGTAGCAAACATCAAATGATGTGCGCAGGGAAGTCGGGGAAAGTATAAATACGTTTGAGGCAATGTTTTTAAACTCCACTAATTTAGTTATTATTGCATTATTTTTTTATCTTTCCTTAATTTGTATGTACAATATGTATTTTCGGCATGTGTAAAAATAAACTACTGACTGTACTTTTGCGAACTCAAGATAAGTTACATTTTGGTTTTGTTCATTAGCCCACTAGATTTTTATTGCATGTACCAAACTTAGGTTTTATGGCAGAACTTATTGCCCCTTTGACATCATTATCCGACGAACTTGTTGAAATAAAAGTTCAAGGTTTGAATCCGCAACAAAAAATTACAATTCAATCGTGCCAGACTAGTGAGAGAGGGCAATTGTTCCATGCTTTTGCTCACTACATCGCGAATGAAAAGGGATTCGTAAACGTATCAAGCGATAGGTCACTAGGTGGAAGCTATGTCGGTGTTGAACAAATGGGTTTGTTTTGGGCAATGAAGACGCCAAGCTACGCTGGTAAAAGTTATGGAAATCTAATAAAACAAAATCCGAGTACACCGGATGAAGTTCAGTTGAAGTTATACGATAATTTTATACAAGAAGAAAATATTCGTAACTTTGAATCAAATGCCTCTATAATAATAAAACGTCAGTATATCAAAGAAACATTCGACAGGATACCAATAAACAACGGTGACATATGCGGTACACTCTTCAGGCCCCCTGGTGCACTAAAGTTGCCCGGGGTTTTATATATCAACGGATATATTGGGGGAGTCTCGGAGTTCCGTGCAGCTCTTTTAGCAAACCACGGTTTCGTTGTTCTTACGCTTGGATATTTCAAATGTGGAAATAGGCCAGACGAATTAAAGTATGTAGACCTCGATTACATAGAACGTGCGGTAACTTTTCTCGTGCGTCACAAAAATGTTCTTGATTGCGGTATTGGAGTTTTCGGATTTTCACTTGGAGGGACGATGGCTTTAGCAATATCGGCATTATCACAGAACATCAAGTGTGCTATTAACCTATGTGGGATGACATACGCATGCTTGGGAATTGACATTCATTACGGAAAACGAGTTTGGAAATCAGTCGAGTTCGATGAGCGGAAAATATCGATCAACAATGGATTTCAAGACCACGCTAAAACTCATACTATACCTTCGGCAGTTAACAATGAAAAACACATGCCCAATTTTTTCATGTCGGATGCATCGTTTCTTTTCATCTATGGAGACGATGATGGCTTAATGGACTGCGATGAAAATATGTCTCTTGCGAAGCAACTCTACCAAACATCAGGTCATAATCGATGTAAATTTGTGAAATATACCAACACTGGACATTTAATTTGGCCTCCTTTTACTCCGCCAATTAAATACACATACCACGGGATGGGACATTTTGGTATACCAACTGATTTTGGGGGTACTATGAAAGATCATTCTGTTGCTCAAGAAGAATCGTGGAAGGAAATAATTGGGTTTTTCAGGGAAAACCTCATTCGTTAGGCTTGGCTAGTGTTATTTTGGCGAAGTAAAAGTTTCAATTTGGAATAACAGAGTTCCTAAAACCGCAAATCGACCATACGATATGGAGAAGCCGAGATTTCATTAATTTTATTTGTATCAAATAATGCCGTTTTATTATTGATAGGTGCGTATATATACGTAATTATGCGTGTAACGGACACGTTTTCTAACGTTTGTATGCTTTTCACCACCTTGTAATTATTGCACCAACCAATAGTTATTGCCGTAATGGAACACTGCAGCTTTCCATCATCAATTCCAATTTCCAAGCTTGTTTGTTTTTCTTTCACGGAAAACGCGCAGCTTTATTTATAAGCTAATCATCTGTGTTTTAGAATGATTTCTATCCTTGTGTGCTTGCTTATTGACCTCTGATAACTGAGTGATGAGTTAAGATTGGGAATTGCTTCGCTAAACTACGTAGGTATTTAGGTAAAAACACGCAGGATAGGGACCGGTGTCTCCAAAATGTGGTGTCCCACTTGTCCCGGAGATCTGGGACACGGGACACGACATTATGGAGACACTCGGGTAGGGACCCTACACTATATCTGTGAGTCCACTTCATAAAAAATTAGGTTCCTATGTTCTGCTGGTTTTGCAGGATTTCCTAGGTTTGATTTGTTTGCTTTCTAAATAGTGTTGCGTTTTCATAATTGTCAAAAAAACTGTGTGAATTTGATGTAGGTGAGATGTCAGCATATAAAATATGTCCAGCAATTTCAGATTCGTAATTTTTTTGAAATACTGTACTAGGTCATTGCATGCATTGCAAATATAAAGAAAACAGAGATGTTCAAAAATTGGAAAACATAGGGCAAGCAAATGAGGACAACTTTTCTAGGCCGTGGGCGTCGCCAGAATTCATGAGCAGTGCGCCACCAATTCCGGGCTTGGAGAGGTTACGCATACTTTCTGCTGCTCTCAGCAATTTTTCACCGTAAAATCGGAAATCCACGAATGAGAACGAGACGGACAACAGTTTCAAAAGTCTGGTTCTATTCGAATCTCCAGATGATTGTAAAAGTCGCTCCCCGTACGTTAACAAATCCAATGATCATTTTTCTAGCAATCCAGCAAAAAAATCAGTAATTTCCGACGTAAAGTTGACAACAGTTTGTCACAGGTCCGCGCGTCCCAGCTTCAAACTCTAAGATTGTAGATGGTTCCAAACTAATAAATCATGAACCCTGGACTAGAAGAACAAACCGCTACACAAACTGATAGCTCGTTCACCTTATCCACGGGGGAGAGTTACACATTTATTTACTGATACATCATCATAACATATTTTACAATATACTCAAAACGACGCGAGATAAAATCCACAAATAAAATACAAGAAAAAAAATGAGCACGAAAAATAATATTTCTCGGGCAAAGTTATCACTTTTGTATATTTTTACAATTTCGTAATGAAGCCAGTCCTTCCCTAAATAAATCTAATCTTGCTATAAAGCTTACAGTCGACCTACTTCTTGGTGTGGATGAATCGGAAAAATGTCATAAAAAGCTTTGTCAATTTCACTAAAAATCAATAGAATGGTTGATGTACACAGAATATCAATATCAATTGCGAGAAACTGGTAGAGGGAAAATTCTGTACAGTACATATTACAACTACGACAAAAGAGTACAAAATGATACATTGTTTCAATAAATAAAACCAAAACATAGTAGTGGTAGAGTAGGTATCAGACTAAAAAAAAAAGACCAAAAAAATTATGATAAAAATAAAACATGGCGAAAGACAATAAAAGCAGATGAAGTTGTGCTCTTTTCGTCCTCACAGATAAAAACCAGGGTAATCTAGTAGATGGATAGTAATCAAAAATTAAAAATCAGAAACTTTCACTATATAGAATATAAATTTTTGGCTGATGTATTTTAGAACATGAATCTAGAATCCAAACAATGTTATTTTGTACAAAAAATTAGCTAAGTTTTGTCAAAAATTCACTTTATAAACCTTATTTCATAGCAGGAGTGCAGGGTATTTTCAAAATTAAAGAAAAACTCGTTAAAGACACTGCAATAGTAAGGAAAAAAAAAGTCAACAAAAAGCCCCAAGCAATGGTGGGACTATACCCTTTCAAAATAGGGGTCAAAAAACTTTACAAAGCAATGCCTTTCTGATATAAAGCTGACAAAAACCTCATTGAAATATACGACGCATTAGCTTTCAGTATACCTGTACAAAATTCTAAATTAATGTGAGAGCTATGTGTAGAATCATTCAATGAGTGATCAACATGGCTAGAATCATGCGTGCGCAATACTAGATAATAATAAAAAAGAACAATTACAACAAAAAAATTGTAATCTCCACCTCGTTTTTGGTATCTTCAATCTAACGGACTTGATGAATATGCGGTTACAAACTATTTTCCAATATTTACTTAATTGTTATTTAAACCAGTGAGTTGTAAAAACAAGTATTGAACGATATTGATCATCTCATTAATTGACTTAAAATGAATTCTTAGCATTATAGTTATCTATGTATTTTGTAATATTAAAACAAAGTAAGGAAGAAATGTGTCCTTTCTTCATCTATCCATTTGAATTATTGTCTATTCAGCATGGCGTCTTTGTCGTTTCCGCTGGTCAATTTATCTGGATGCTCCTGATTAGTCATGTTATAATCTGTGTTAAAAAAAGGGAAGATAATATTAGACTAGTCGAAATTAAAACGCCAAAACTTCATCTTTTAAACTCCTATTTTAGGGTTCACTTGTACAACAATTCCCTTAAAATCACTATTACACACATAATATAACTGATAAAGAATTTAGCACGAAACTCCCCCAACAATTCTAAAAAAACAACAACATATTATATTTTTACAAAATAGCGAGTAAATTTTCAGCTTCCATTAGATCACAGTCTTACTTCATCAGACAAAACAAAGATCATATTGACCTCGGAGTCAAGTTACTATAATAGGTTTCGAAATGAAGGCAATGGAATAATTTAGTCCGTCTAACTAATCTAATTGGTATGGGAGATTTTGGTTTCATTTATATGGTTTCCTTTGTTAGTTTAGAGCTTGTTTGTAAGTTTTGCTTTTTTTTTCTCGAGTTGATATATGTACAACATATATATATATAAGAAAAAAACAAACCTGTAGGACTCGACGATGGGTTACGAACGTGCTGAGGTATTAAAATATTATAGAGCGCTGATTTCTGTGACAACTCTGTAAGAGTAAAAAAATTATTGAATATCAGGTACAGATAGCTCAAGAAAAAAATGAAATAAATAAAATGCACTATTATCCAAAAAACAATTTTAACTTCATATCACATTATCCACTCATTGCTTCACCTTCAAGTGAGCTCATATGAGTTTATGAGACATTTTGATACCTTCAGTCTCCATAAATGCACTGCTGACAAGTATCATTTTCGGAACGAATGGAATTTTAGCTATTCGGCATTGTTACTATCCATTTTGTTACACCCTGGGTGAGGTGGTGGATGTAAATGGGGTTTTTACCTGAGATTGCAGATAAGATGTTAAACTTGCTATGCAAGCACAATTTGGTTCAGCATTACAACCACTGGGACTGGGAATAGAATATTCAAATCGAATAGCAAATTATTGAATCGGTTCAGATGAAAATTCCCAATTGTCACTATCTTGTTTTTTCTTCCCGCCAAAAGTCCAAGTCAATTCCCCAATTTTTTCTATGCAATTCTGAGATATTACTCTTTTCTTCCTAAGGAGGTATTGATAAAACTTTTTTTTGCACGTGAACACTAAACATGGCGCCTAAAAAATGAAGGTTCATTCATTCACAGTAAGTACCAAATATCCTGTCGCACTCACAAAATCATTTTCCACAATAACTGACTTTGACTTTCCTTACTATAAATAAATTAAAAGAATAGATTGATGAATGTGGATCATCTTTTCTCTATAAATGGTCGAACACATCATGAAAACCTGAAATCAACAAGAACTGACCTTGTTGGGTAAAATTGAACAGGGGAGGAAGTGGCTTCCCAGCAGGGAGCGTAGCTTTCGGAATACGTAGTTCATCGAAAAAACTGTGTGCGCAAGATTCCAGTGGCAGAATTCGAGCACCTGGCGAGTATTCCAGTAAACGACTGCAAAGAGCAATTGCTTCAGGTGGTGTTCGAGGCCTAAACACCTGTAAAAAATTGGATAGTCAAGTATATGTCGCCATGGGAAAGAGGGCTCTCCAGAAGTGTGTGTCTAACAATATGGCGTTAACTAATTTTGTTCGCCTACTTTACACCATGTAGTGTCGGGACTGAAAACCTATGGGCAGGGGGTATATTCACTTGGCTAACACACAGACAGTCCTCGAACTCGTAATGGAACTAAAAGAAGAAAGATCAGTATAAAATTATGCCCTAACCCCAACCTGATACACACACTACTGGAGTTCCAGAAAGATAATGCTTGTTGGTTGAGAAAAGAGATGAAATGTAACACGGCCACAGGAACGGCACTCATTATTGAAATATTACAGCTTATATATAATTATTTTCCCTTTCCTATTTTTAAAGCAACTAAGTTAACTTCTTGACATTCACATTAATGAGCTTTATACAAGTAAGTACCAGTAATAACTAGGTAGGAGTTAGATGATCTCAAGTAGATGTTCATGGCTGACAAGACCAAAATTCTCTAATTTTAGGAATTTTTTAATTGAGCGTGTCTTAAACTTAGGGTTGAGAAGACGAACCAACTGACTCAGTAACTGAAATGTAATTAACATTTTACAGTTTTGTTCTGATTAACATTGAAATAATAAAAAATTACCTTCGACCATGGATGTGCCTTAATTTGTGGGAATTTGAATTCTGTGTAATTTGGATTCATCTCACGGATTTGTTCGCGAGTCGGAGTACCTAATACCTGAAACAAAAATGAGAGACATCAGAAGTGAAGCTATACAATTTAAATATATAGCGTGGAGTTTTGTGAACAGCATACGGAGTGATACTACCAAGTGTTTACAATTTACAATTTGTAGACATTTCAATGAAGGCAGTACAGTGGTGCCAATATGAGTCGGATAAGTAAAGTTCCATATGGTGGCCCTCACATTTTGGCTTTTTCTTGTCACGATATCATAAAGTCACACAAACATACTGTTTATCAAATGGAGTCCTGCTAGTTTGCAACATTTATTAGCGCACTTTACTGAAAATACTATCAGTTTTATACCTAATTCATAAAGGAGGGGTAGTCCTCAAAACGTTTTACAAACATCAAATTAGCATTTTCAAATTCAAGTGCATTTGTACAAAACCAAAATAATTTCCAGTGTAATGTAAGAGTAGTTATGAATTCTGGATTTAATTATCTTCTTTTTTTGGCTTGAGGTCATCAAATTGCATGATTATTATTGACTTTCATTCAAAACTACGGTTTTTTTGTATATCCCAACTCCTAATGTAATGCACTGTTTAGTACCTTGATGATTTCAACAAGTTGATCAACACCACTGTCACCGGGAAATATTGGTTGTCCTAATAATAACTCTGCCAAAACACAGCCAGCAGACCAGATATCTGAAAAACAAATTGTTAAACCATGTTTAAAGACTAATATTACAGATTAAAATATTAATATATGACTTAGTTCAATCATAAACATCTCAGCTGTGTTACAGGGTGTCCCAAAATAAATGAACCCAATAATTTGATTAACAATTTTGTGGGTTGTATTCATTTTGGGACACCCTGTATTTAGGTATGGTATTATAAATAAGTAAAGAACAAAACATTTAAACTAATACTACTCGATTTGATATATATGAACTGCATAATATATAGTAATTCCTGTTAAAATTTTCGATATTTCACAACCATTATTGATTATCAAAACATGAATCATCATTTTTACCATCTAATTTTTGATATTTCAATATAAAAATACTAGTCTTATTTATGAAGTTAACAACAGACTGCTACATACCTATACTTGGGGTATAATCAGTAGCTCCAAATATAAGTTCAGGTGCTCTGTAGTAACGAGAACAAATATATGATACATTTGGCTCACCTCGGACAAGTTGCTTGGCACTGAGAAACAAAAATAAATTGATAACAAATTGCACTAAAAATAAACATTTTGAAAGACAATGGCAAAATTTGATCTCTATTTAGGTAAAATATATAAATATTGGAAATTCTCACACATAATTCCCGGTACTTCGGAAATTCTATCAAAACTATTTCCATGCACTTCACTACAACATATCTTGATTGCATTAATTCAACAATCCTTGAAATACTAACTAAGCCAGCATGATTTAATAGCTGGAACCAACAACTCACAAACATTTTTCCCAAAGCATAAGCACAGTACACTTTTCCAGCAATTAGAATGATTAATAAGATAAACAACCCCGGAAGAAAGTTTATCCTAGTTGTCAAAATATCTGGATCCAGATTCACTTTGATGCAAACAATTTACCTTCCAAAGTCACAAAGCTTTAAAACAGCGGTTTCTGGATCAAGCAGCAAATTCTGAGGTTTTATGTCACGATGACAAATTCCACATGAATGAATGTAAGCAAGACTGCGGAACAGCTGATACATGTATAACTGAAAAGAAAACCCAATGTGTATTTTATCCAAGTGTGATAGATGGATAGCGCTATTGCAAAGAATATTTAAATAAGGCTCTGTTTGATTATAGAATTTATGGATATTTTTCTAAAAGGGCTGGTTGAGTGTACTTTCAATGATACCAATTTGTATTTTTTTAAAATTCAATTAGAAATGTGGATGTGAAGCATTATCCATTGTACAATTTAAAAAATTATGAATTTGTAGAATCATCTTATTTCAAATTGGAGACTGGAGGGTGATTATTCAGTATGATTTTACAAGAATAAAAAAATGTAAATGATATACGAATCGAATGAATGACATTATCAGATGGAAATAAAGATATTAAGAAAGTTAAGAAATTACGTTATAGCACAAAATCCTGTACAAATTAATTTTAGCAACTCTGCGAATACTATTTTATGTTTATACCCAGATATCAATTTATGCAAATTCATTTCCAATAGCACTTCCAACAAGCAAAGCTGGTATTCATATTGAGTCATTATATATACCTAATACTACACACCTTGACAAAAAGAATTGGAATAGTCTGTTTATTTTTGCTGAATTGTCTAGCAACTCTGTACACTGTTTCTGGAACATATTCCATCACAAGGTTGAGATAAAGTTCATCTTTCTGGAAAAGATAAGCGAAAAGGTCGTAGTAATTAAAACTTCAAAGCTCTCGATACGAAAAATAGGAGATATAACTTTTAAAAAGAAGCTATCATAACTAGGATCGTGCATTCAAATAAAAATACTTTTGAAAAAAAAAATCGGAAATGACTCAAACTTCAAACATCGGGGTTGAAAAGTAATATGACCTAACTTCAACCTAGAGAAACCCCAAGCCTATGAAAGTTTTTTTGCTTTTGATGAAATAATTTAAGTTAGTTTGACGCTTGTTTCGTATATGCTGAGAGCTTTTACTTTTTCTTAGTCTAAAATACAGATATTATACTTAGTTTATAATCTATACTTAGGGTATGGCTCTGATTTCGAATACAAATTCTAACTACACGAACCACCATCATACTTTGGAATAGAAACGAACATTTTCATTGTTTTAAAGATTCATCTTTCCTTATTAAAAATATACAAACTTTTAAATAAAATTTCAAATTATCGATAATATGGTAAAATGATGGTGGTTTTAAAAAAAAATGACCAAAATCACAATAACCCCTATATATTTTGCCTTTACGCAGTATAAAAACTGAATTGTAGAAAATTGTTAGAATACAAAAGCAAATACAAACCTTTTCTCCACTTGAGTAGAAAAAATATCTCAAACTGACAATGTTGCAGTGATCTAGCTTTCGCATTATTTGAAGTTCGCGATTCTATAAAGGAGAAAAACACATAATTTCAAAATCCAACTTTTGACAGTCCTAATTGGTTTACGTGTTCAAATTATGATATTTGATCTGACTTGTAATCTAGCAAATTTTGCATTCTATCCAAACATTTTTGATGAAAAATCATTTCTATGCTTAGTTTATGCATAACATGGTCCCACAATGTTATAGCCATTCATATATAAAAACAAGTTATTATTGTATCAGTATTCTAGTTCATTCACAATTACAGCAAATACCTTGAATCTTCTATCTTGCAAAACTTTTTTAATCGCAACCATTTCATTGTTGTCTGCGAGTCTTGCTTGATAAACGACACCAAAGGATCCATTTCCTAAAGAAGAAAGAAATTCATATGGAATGATTTCAAAATTTGTTTTATTTGCAACAAAGATACAAGATCCAGTGCTATTGCGCAACGTCTACAATATAACACAATATTAAATACAGTGTTGAAATGCCACTGGTATAAGATAAGAAAATGATTAGGATTCTGGGAATACAATAATACCAAAAACTAAGATTAAATGATGCAAAATTGAGTCGAAAATAGAGATATTTTATACAGTAAAGCAAAAGAACATATCACTCCATCTACATTATAATGTAAAGTAAATCGACATATACCAGTAATTACCTATAACTCTGGTATCTGTATATGAAACTTGTTGCTGTGTTTCTGGTCCGTGTCCTGGAGTTGCAACAACAGTTGTTATCTTACCTTCTTTCTCGCCTGAAATGAAAAACATTTTCAGATGATATTCTTAAATTCTGGTCTTAAAATACATACAATTTAGCAATAGCTCATGACAAATTGTTATCTTGGAGTTCAAGACTATCTCCCCCTAATAGATATAAAAATACAATCACAGTAATTCATATTATACTACTTTGAATGCAAAATGAAAAGGCATTTTTTTATAGGCCTGGGATATCTTTTTATCTTTAGAAAAACAACTAGAGATTGTGACTTGAAAAACTGAAAGATGTGTATACCCTGCTAAAGACTGATTAAACCCAATCACCAACAGCATGATTTGGGAATCCTGGGAGTATTTTAAACAATCAGAACTTACTAAAGAACAGTGAGATATCAATAATGTGTAAAGTACACCTTTACATTATATACAAATTGTGGAAAATTACTAGAGATCAACATGAAAATAGTGCGTTTGAAGAAGGTTATTTGAATGTATAATTTCATGATCAAATTTTTACATTTAAAATATGCTTAGAATATATAAAATCAAAATATAGGTATGAATTAGATTTAAAAAAAACAGGCTATACAAAAACTGGCATCGACTGCCACAGCAGCAGCATTAAACTTCTAAACAAATCAATACTTTGTGTGATAACTTCGAGAAATCTATATGTAAATTTCACCCATGAAAGCCGAATTAAATAACAAAAATGTTCAATAAAAGTAGTCTATTTCATTTTGTAGAATAATTAAACATAGATATATTTACAATACAATGTTACAAAGCTCTAGTAATCGGTGACAAAATTCTGATTCATACATGTTATATTCTGACAGGTATATCAACTGATTCAAGCCAAAGCAATGACTGGCATCACCATGTCATAAATCATGTACTTTTAATTTACAAACCTCATAATACTGTGATGGTATCATAATGAATTGAGTGATCTTTAGAAATACCATTGTTACATGTTTCAGCCGTCTCAAACTTTTAATCGTTTTGTAATTGTTTGTCACAGGATATTATGAGGATGATGTTTTATAACCAAATAATATATGAAATTGTATTAAAATTCTACCTCACGCACTGTTCTAATTTGGAGAGCGTGAATATTCACGCTTCAGGGTAACTACCTCGTGAATCTTGTCATAATGTATGATTTCTCAAAATATGATACCTATATATATATCTAACCAGAATTATTACACCAATACATCAAATGCATTAAGATTATGTTATTTTTTGCGATTCGTTTCATCAAGCTAGATATTGTATACTTGTTGAATTACAACAAGAGAAATATGTTTCAAATTAGGGATCAATTTCAGTCAAAAATATTTGATAAGAATTTCACACAAATCTAAGTTGTTGTAAGATAACATTTCAAATAGATGAAAGTTTATAACTTCATTCATTGCACCAGTTCTTCCAGTCATTCATTTTATTTTGAAATTATATGTTTTTTTCTTGAAAAAGCCTACAATGCATAAAATTACATTAGCCTCAATACATTTCATAAACTTCTAATTTCAATGAATTTGTGTATTACTTCAATATTAATTAACACCCAAACAACAAGGCCATTATAATTCATTCTGATCTGGCACACAACAAATAATAAACACCTAGGTGATACAAGAGTGATAATTTATCTGATATGTCGCAAGCTAACTCAACTTTCGAGAGCAAATCTAGCTGGCATCCAAGTTCTATCAGAAATTGATTATGATAAAACTAAGCTCTTATTGCACTTAGAGGCACTATAGGTATTATCTCTTACATGGCATTTTAACAAGTAGATCCTATGCATTATGTTTATATATAATATTTATCAATAAAAAAAGTCACTTACGGCTGACTTTCATATTTCCCTCAAATTTTCGAGCATGGTTAAGTGATGCAAACTGTGAGTCGCCCTTGGGTCCAAGCAGCTTTTTGGTGCTAAACGACGTTGCAGCTGACAACCTATCACTGGTATTAAACGTTTCCACCCCTCTTGAACAACTACTCATAGTAAGAAAACCTAAAATGAATATTCGGTATTATTTATGGATGCAAGTATCAAAAAATTCTACTTCAGTCTGCGAAGTAGTTAGTCTCTCAGAAACCAAATCATTAGCATAAGTTATCATTTATTCTTTCTGATACTAATCATTTTCTTCGCAAAATCAGAAAAATAAGGCGATTTATTATACAATTTTATACAATATTTAATTACGCTCAAATATGACATTTCGCATGTCCTTTCTAACATCAATAGCCTGGTCCATATTCAAATAATATAAATATAGAATGAACAATAGTACCTAGTACCTTTTTGTAGAAATCAAACAGCCATTTTCACTTGAAGTTGAAATTAATTCTAAAAAGCATAATATTATTGAATAACTAAGACATAAAATACTCAATATTTATATATGCTTTATATACTTTAAACAGTAAGATAACTGAGATTTCACAGTATTAGATAATTGGATTATGGGTGCATATTTAAAACAATAAAATGACAAAAAATCCAAATTAACAAAGTAATAAAAAGATTCCTATTAGTAATAGAAGACTTATTTTATTAACGACTTGGATAATCAAGATTACAAACACCATACTGATAATTTATGCCATTGTACAGAGTAAAATTTGGTACATATAACAGATACAAACTTTTAGTTTAAATGGCAATTATATAAAAAAAAATATAATCTGGCTATTGCTGTAGTACGAAAATTGTTTTAACAAGTTGAAATTATCCCATAATATTGTGATATTCAAATGAAAATAACTCACCAGATATATTAATTTGTAAAATAATTAAAATCAATCAGATAATTACCTAAAAACCTGAAAAAGGGAAAAGTTTTGGTCAAGATAAATCTTCCACTCATTGCAATAAGGTAGCCTAAATAAGTAGTATACAGACTTGACTTTTGGGAGAAATGATAACTAACTAGACAGATTTAACTACATGCAGGCAGATAAATATCGTGTCATATGGGTCAAGTTTAGTTCATGGATTACCGGTACTTGGTTTTCAAATAGACACAGAAAGGCAAAGAGATAAAATACAAGTTTAGGCACTATAGGAAACTCAACCTAGGCATAATATTAGTTAAATTTAATCTCTACAACAGTGAAAGACTTGTTCTAGACAAGTAATCTTGATATCAAGCACTTTTCCTGGCTATACATATACACCAGGCATGGCCATAACCGAATACTGGACTATTTCAAATATATTATAAAATACCACAATACATAAATTTATTCATTTTTTTTTAATAGGAATTAATAGTATCAAGATAAACAGATGGCATGTATGATATGATTAAAATTTGGGATTTTCTTGCTTCTAGGAATAGAGAATCGATTTATACTTATGATCTTGGCAAGCACAGAGAAAAAGAGCAAATAGGCGTCCAGAAAAATGTTTCAGATTCTACAGTAAAATCAGGGTCCCTGACAACACACAAACACATTTTGACACAGCTGTTTTTTATCAGCGTGAGTGACATTCAGACCATCAGCAATGTCTGAATGCTGAGCTAAATTACATCACTTCCCCCTAAAAATTTTTATGTTGACGAGGTTATACTGTCGCGATCTCTATGTCATAGTTAAAATTGTGAACAGAGCCATCAGTATAGCCTTAAAAAAACATTATTAGTACTTTGATATCGTTTACCAAATGATCAATCCAAGGGGTTTTCGAACTCCAGTAAAAAAAGCCCCTTCTTAAATGCTGTAAATGTTTTCGTCTTGATCACTAAAACTGAATGTTTATTATAAAATACTTTTTAATTTACTGATTCATATTATTAAATACAATGTACCGTTTTGTGATTTTTTTCAGAAAATTCAGAAATGGATTTAACCTCAATAAGTTCTTCGATTAAAGGTATTGTTAGTTATAGGAAAAATAAAATTGTGAAAAAGGTAGGCTTCTAAGTGCAGGCCAAAAGAATTAGATTGAGCGATGCTTTTGAAAGTTGACAAAACTGAGGAACCAATCAAGTCATTCTTTATCTTAACTTTTCAAACACATTGGCTTCCATTTCTGCATTTATTTTTCGTTGAAAATGACCCATTATACTGTCAGAAAAATGCCTTTAATATACTTATTTATTTAAAATATAAATTTAAAAAATAAAATAAAATCAATATACTGATATACAAAAATCTGGAAACCGTAGACGTAGATTGAAAAATTATGTGTCTCTGTTTTTTATTGGCAGAATTAAATTCATTTTAGTTTCAGAAGCATGCTGAATGAACAAGACAAACTGACAAACTTTGGTTATAAACCATCATTAGAAAAAATGGTTCTAGCGAAGTACGTCGAACAAAAATGTGATAAAAATAGGATAGGATTTATAAATCATCCTGTGACTGCGTAATTAACGCGAAACAAAAATCAAATGTGAAAATACAACCTAAATTTAAATTTTTCTTAAAAATAATAGTCTGGTCTCGCGCGGAAAGCTATTGTTACTCTGTTTGGCATGACGTGCTCAGTTGAAAATTGAGTGGGTTTGCTAAACGCGTTTGTCAAGAATTTTAATCTGGACCAGAGGGACTTTTTGAAAAAAAAAAACTTGAAAATTTCACATCCAATTTTGGTTTGGCGTCTTTTGAGGAAATCGAAAAATCTAATGAAATCCACAATATAACACTTGATGGTCCTAAGTTACGGGTACTAAAATACTGTAATAACTAAGTTAAGACAATCAATTTTAGTAAAACAGTAAAAAGACAAAAATTTCCAAAATTAGACTTGTCTACAACACAGCATTACCGTAGTCAGTTCTGCATTCCGCCTGTAGGTACGGAAGGCTATAAATTATGCTTTATGACATTTCGGATCTGGCTATCACTGTATCAAGTAGTACGGTAACATTACCATAAATTGACATTTAAAAGTCCCAAAATTCGACTTTATCGACACTATAACTAAATAGTGGGTTTTTAGAAATATCATGTGTAAATCTTACAAAGCTGAGATATGGTAATCCAAAAATGACACTAACGATACTGGTAGTTGAAAAGAGATTCCAACCAAGCGCGGCGCAAACGCCAACGAAAAAGGCGACGCCAGAGCAAACTGCCATTCGCTTTCCGCGAAAGCTGTGCCCAAGAGAAACAATGGACACGGTATCTGTGCGCTGTTTCATCGATTATGAAACTTATGGACTATTTTTCGCAAATAACTCATTTCGCATCCGAGTTTTATTAACGAGCGAATAAAACAACTAAAACTATGTTTTAAAAATATGGATAAAATAAATAACAAGATCAAGTAGCCGAAATGGACTATCATTTAGTATATTGTTGAATTTTAAAACATTAACATCAACAGAAGAATTTAGCGCACCTTAAATGGAAATTCACATTACGAATCTAACAAAAGACAATGATGGCGTATCATTGCCGTAATTAAAAATTATAACCACAAAATACACAACAATAAAATACACAATGCCTTTCACCCCAATTCACTGTGTACTTTTTCTCTTAAATATATTACGAATGTTTCAATTCTACTACTCCTTCGCACACACGCATGTTCGGTGACACACTTTCACCACATTATTATAATATATTTAGTTTATTTTGCGATTGACCCCACCCCCTCCACACACACTCGCATTACAACGAATCTAACTAAGAATCCTCCAAATTTGTTATAACTTTTTGTAAATTAATACTGAATTATACAACGTTCAACATTTCCCATTAGTAAACCTCAATCTTGCATCTTAATCATCCAGGAGAAAATTTCGGTAGTTGACTTGAAGACCGTTTGCGTGGTCGTATGTATCACTCCCGTTCATAACAGAGCAGTTTATCGCTGTTACTTTTGTACATTTCAATATTGTTTCGATGACTGCATTTGTGGTTGAAAATATAACATAGACTATCTATCTTCCTCTCTCCCTTCGGCGATGAACGAATCTGATTATTATAAATTAATACAATCAGTCAACTTCGTGATTTTTTGTATCCCAATCAATTTTGCTTTTACAAAGTTCCTGCAAAATTTTCTTACCTTCCAATATCACAGGTGACAGAAATCCCATTGGATCAAATATAGAACTCACAATTGATAGAAATCCGTGGTTGATTTTTCAATTCCAAATGATAGCGAAAAACATCATCATTCACATCCCACAGCATACCTAGAACTCTCTCAATTGGAAGTGGATCATTATTCAAATCAATTGTTTTTACACTACTAGCCCGATCACATTCAGGAATCGATTCTAGGACTTCTCTCCGATTCGACACAAATTTATGCAACTTTAGACCTGCTTTGGCACACAGAGAAGTACAGTTTCGAGAGCCTGTAAACCATCATCCACATAAAAATTATCTCTTACAAAATCAGCTGCTTCTATCCCAAATGCCTTTTCACCATCATCTCCAGCTAATTTCAATCCATACATTGCAACACATGGGCTACTACGAGCACCAAATGGATGTCGAGTCATTCTATGCTCAGTTAATTCTGATTCGGTGTTACCATTATTCCACCAAAAGAATCCCAACAAATCTCTGTCTTGTTCTCGTACAACAAACTGATGGAACATACCTTTTATGTCTCCCATTACAGCAATTTCCTTTTCCCGAAATCGGCACAAAATTCCTGTCATTCCACTCATAAAATCTGGTCCAGTGAGCAAATGATCATTTATGCCTCCTCCTTTATATAAAGGACTCAAATCGAAAACAACTCTGATGGTTTTCTTCTTAGTATGAAAAACAGCAGTATGTGGCACATAATTAACTTTTCCATCACTAACAACAAGTCTATTTTCTGGCACCCTTTCAGCATAATTTTTTATCATATCTTCCATGAATTAAACATACTTACTTTTATACTCTGAATCCTTTTCAAATCGTTTTTTCAATTGCATTACTCGTTTCAATACCATGGGCTTGTTATTCGGTAATTTAACTTGGTCACATTTCAATCGTAAAGGCATTTCATACATTCCATTGTCACATTTAATAACATTTTCAGAAAGTATTTTCACAAACCTTTGATCCTCAATTGACATATTTTCATGCTTACTTTTGTGGTCAACAAAATCTATTTCCATCATCTGATTGAGTTGTTGAGGACTTACAATTTCTTTTACTTTTGTGGAAAATACAAATGATGATTTACCATTGCTCTCTAACAGATTTTCCGCTGTGGAACAATCTTGTTACACTTCGACACGATGAGATATTGAACTCATATCATCACGTTTGCCATTTTTGCAAACATTTCCAATTATTCCCCAACCCAATATAGACTTTTGACCATATGGATCATTTTCCCGTCCATGAATTATGTCACGAGGCCTTACCGCACTAGGAATGTTACTACCAATGAGAATACTGACCTTTGAATCATAAGGCATAAGTTTGTTTGCAATTTTCTCCAAATGTTTCCACTGTTTGGCAACTTCAGGTTTTGGAACTTGTGAAGGGCTCGCAGGTACTTGCTCACGAGTATAAGCTTGTGGAATATCTATCTTTACTTGACGATCCATACTCATCACTTGTAGTCCTCTGATTCTCTGCGAAGACACCAACGCTCCAGATTTCATCATCGTAGAGAGATTTAACTGTGTCTGTACATCTTTCACATCAAGTTGCTTTTGCAATTCCTCAGAAACAAAACAACAATTAGATTGATCATCTAATATGCAGTAGCACTGGATTTCCTTAGATGGATTTTTATTATTTCGCACAAATACTGGAACAATCATAGAATTATGTTTGCCACCACTTTGACCTTCTATGGTGAAAACTTGAGTACATTTAGAATCACTTTTATCAAGAGTTTTATCCACATGTAGGGCAGTCAAATGTAACTTATTGCATATCTTACATGTAACCCTCTGCTCACAAAAATTAACCCTGTGACCTCTATTAGAACCACATCCATAACACAGTCTCTCTTTCAGAAAAAAGGTCTTCTTGTCCTTTATTGACAATTTACCAAATTCATCACAATCATCTATATGATGACAAACACTACAGAATGGGCATTTGTTCGCATTCATATTTTCTACTTTATGAGCATATGCTCTTGCATTCTGTGCACTTCTATAACTGGAAAAAAAACTTACTTTTCTTTTCCCTGTCATCATATGACTTCACATATTCACGATTTTTGTTCATATGTTCAAGCTCAGGAATATTCTCCTTTTCTGACGCTTCATTTACAAATTTAACAATTTCATCAAAAGGTGGATAGCTATTTTTTCCATATTTTGATCTCCAATTTTTAACAGTACCACGCCAAGCATCTTGCAAATAGGTTGGTAAACGTTCAATTACTCTTACACTTTCAACAGAAAAATCAAGTACCTCCAAATCTTTGATCTTATGTTTTGCAACTTTGACTTGGTCAAGGAAATCACCATATCTCTGAATTCCAGCAGCATCACGAAATCTAATTCTTGGCCATGATGCCAATTTGTCAAGAAATGCTTTACATATGACACTTTCATTGCCATATCTTGACTTTAATTTTTTCTTTGCTTCTGCATACGCAGTATCATACTGTAACAACACAAGATCTTGAATCATTGTTTTCAGCTTCAATAAGAGCATCAAAATCAGATTCCCAGGCAGGAACTTTTAATGGATTACCATCAACTTTAATTTGTGGCAAAGCATATGCATTGGCTAGCATACTATTTGATATTGCCAACTCTCTCAAACATGCACTTAAATCATTATTTACATGAGAAACACTATTCATGTTAACTTCCGGAGAAACAAATGTAGTGTACGCACCTGATGGAGAATGCTGAAAAGCATTTGCATGTTGTGAATTCATACCTGAATTAATATTCTCACATACAATATCATTTGAGTTATCTTCCCCATGAATTGTTTTCAAACTATGATCCCAATCTGATTTCAAGATCTGTGATTGACTCCTTGAATTTGCAATAAAATCTTCTTCATTCAACCCGAAAGGATTTTCAACTTGCTGGACCTTCTTGCAAACTTGTGCTCTTGCCTTCTTCGACTCGAGTTCCTTCTTGTGCAAGTGCAATTCCAACTGGCTTTGCTGCATTAACTTATGCATTTGAAGTTGACTTTCATCAGCCATTCGTGTAAAAAAACAATCTACCGAGTGATTGCCCCAAAATGATTGCCCACACAACACGATCCATAGGTCCATTCTGTGTTCAATAATAAATAAATAAAAACAAGAACAACAAAAACATAATAACAGAACGATTCATAGGTCCACTATGTGTACAAAAACTCCAAAGGCAACTGGAAATCGAAGTCATAAGTCAAATCGTAAATATACAGTACAGTATAGAGGATTTGTACGGGTCACGTGACTTTGTTTACTGGACGGCAAAAAAACAAAAACGTCCATTTGGCTCCTGTCAGTTGCAAGTCGGATTATACGTTTCCGTTTTGTTTGGCTGTTGAAAATGGTTATTTTGTATTGTTTCGTTGGCTGTACGTATAGTACAAGTACGAAATGAATCTTCAGGTATATTCCACTGTTTTCAAAAGATCCGGAACGTCGCGCAATGTGGATATCATCTATTGGCAGGACTGCTTGGTGTCAAGTCCAGAAGTCATCTCGCTTGTGTTTCACTGTTTGCGGACAGCACTTCGTTGATGGTGAATGAGAATGTGCCGTTACCAATTTCTTTAAATATTCATAATCTCACTCATTTCAATGAGAAGCAGATGACAAACTACTGTTATTGGTAGGCCTAGGCGTAGGCCTACTTGCAGACTTGACTTGTGTAAGAAATTATTCATCAATTGCCATGAGATATTGTTTCCCTAATTAGCAGGTAATCTATTAGTAAGTGTGAAAAGTTGAATAGATAACTAAAGTTTAACGCCAGTGCATCTGCAAAAATAACCAGAATTCAATTGAATTCGCCATCTAGGAATACCCTCGCCACTGCATTTCTGATCACCCTGGGAGTTTCACAGGTTCCAATATCATGCGGGGATAGTTATGTGCGAGAGGATTGCAGCTCTCCTCCCACTGAGGGTGGTTCGCACGACCGCCGGCGACGTTCCGGATCTTTTGAAAACAGTGAAATATACGTGAGAGTCCATTTCATTGTCTATAATACTATACGTAGGCTACAGCCAACGGAACAATACGAAATAACCATTTTCAACAGCCAAACAAAACGGAAACGTATAATCCGACTTGCAACTGACAGGAGCCAAATGGACGTTTTTGTTTTTCTGCCGTCCAGTAAACAAAGTCACGTGACCCGTGCAAATGCTCTGGTCGAATATATTCTTATGCCACCAAGTGGTTGGGGAAGCCCAATGGACAAAATGTCCATGGACAGATGGGGATGGATCTTTCCCTGACCTTCCACCCCCGGAAAATTCTTCCTATACTTTACCATTGCAAAATTTTCAGTGCTATTTTAGGAGTGCTTTTGCGAGTTGGCGCCTGTAAAATGGGGTATGTGTTTCAAACCATCTTTATGATTCATCGCACACAACAATCTGTTTTTTAAAAGTACCGGTAAAGAATTTCAGGCTAGTCTATGACAGCTATTTCTACGCTAATTTTTTATTACTGCAAATAAATTAAAACTCCTAGGAAGACAGAGTGATCATTGAATTATCTGATTTTTATTTAAGTTTCCGAAACACAACTGAAAACTAACGAATAGAGTTTAAAAACGCGAAAACGAGGTAATGTTTACAACCACGCTTGAAAATCTGACTGAGTGAGAAAAGTGTCTGAGCGGATGCGAAAAGGGGGCATTGTTACGTCACTTTCTGCATCTTGCTGATTGGCCAATGTCACGAAGTAAACAAGGAAGTCGATGCTCGGGGAAAGGTCCGTTCCATATTGGCTCTGGAATTTAATTTGGCAAAAAACAAAAAAAAAAGCGAAAAGTCTGTAAATCATAGGACCAAATCATAGCCAACAGCATAGAAAACAAGTCTGTGTTGTTGACTGTGATTTGTGGTAAATCAGCAATCTGGCAATACAGAAAATCTGTCAAATATGATGCTATTTATAAAATGCAGTGTAATTTAAGAGCAATTTTCAAATGTAAAGTACTGGGATGTATGAGTTTGATGGGCAGTGAATGCAGGAATAATATTATGCAATACCAACACACTAATGATGTATTGAATAAATCCATCATGTTATAATATTTATATAGCCTACATTTTCCCAACACAGTCAACAACACTCGGCCATCACTGGCCAACCCATGACATTCTGGTACCAGGTTTCATTGTATACCATATTTTTCTAATTTTATGTAAAATGTCTAGTTTTTCGTACAACATTGGGTTACATAGACTGAAAATGTAGAGAACACCTAATGGCATGGTACCGTAGGTGTTTTTTGGTTTTTGTCTAATTCAAAAAAAAAAAAAGTCTGTAAATTATAATGCAGTAATGGGCACCACAGAGAGAGGGAAATTTATTTTTCGTCAACCAGAAAAGAGAAGCATCGCAACAATAGAAAGATATACAACAACATATACGCAAAGTTTTTCGGTACCAGACTGCGGAGAGCGACACGATCATACACCGGTACCGTACCGGTACCGTCTTCAGAGACAGGATAGGATAGGATTTACATATTTATCCTGGGGAGAAATAAGACGGCTTATCCATATGGCGAACCACGGCCTCTCGTCCGGTTACGTACCATTCCAAGTCGGGTATGGGATTAGTTATTTGTTTGTTTTCGGAAGCATGGACTTGGTGGCGGAGGATCCCGTAACCGACCAGCGGTTACATGAACCACCCAACGACGGCGAGGAGTCCAGCAATCCTCTCGCACATAACCATCTCTGCATGGGATTTGAACCTGCGAACCTGTGCAGAGTACGGTAATTAGAGGTGCAGTGGCGAGCGTATTCTTAACGCTTAGCCCGTCTGCCCGTTGAGACACATCGTCGCGCCGTATTTTAATTACGTAGGTATGTAGGTATGGTATGTAGGCTATATAAAACTTAAGTACGTAGGTTAGTACCGATATACGGTATGGTGTTCGTCTATCTCATAGGAAAATTGTCCTGCTTTATTGATACACCAGTATCTGTCAACTCTCAAGCTTCCAATGCTGCAATGTGATATTACAGTATTAAATGGCTCGGCGGTTTGGCTCAATGGGCTAAGCGTTAGGAATTCGCTCGCCAGTGTACCTCTAATTACTCTGCGTGGGTTCGAATCCCATGCAGGGATGGTTATGTGCGAGAGGATTGCTGGACCCCTCGCCATCGTTGGGTGGTTCACGTAACCGCTGGTCGGTTACGGCTTCCTCCACCACCTTCCCCCATGCTTCCGAAAACAAACAATATAACTAATCCCATATCCGACTTGGAATGGTAGCCGGACGAGAGGCCGTGGTTCGCCATAGCCGTCTTATCGGCTTTCCTCTCCCCCGGGATAAATATGTAAATCCTATCCTAAATGTCCTATGTAATCTCAAATTGGAAATGTTCTGGGTTACAGAAATACAGAGTGGGTAGGTGGTCCACTAATGCCAGAGTGTTTCATCTTTGCCACAGAACATCATTCCTACATAGCTACCATGAATGAAAACTTATAGCCTACAGTTTAGCAGTGCAGCAGTGTTAATTCTGTAATTTGTACTCTCAAATATACAGGTTATGCTAAGAATTACATAGAGTACAGTAGTATGGAATGCCGGAATATCTTGAGATTCAAGCAAGGAAGTATTCAATTTGTAATATCTGTGATACTTGGATGGTTTATGAGCGAAAGAATATTGAGTATTGATAAAGGATCTCAAGTATCATTTAATTCAAATTCTTCTTTTTGTGATCCATGTCGTCCACTTGTGTGCCCATCTTGTGAAAATCAAGGTCATCTATTGCGTAATACACGAAACTTGAATGTGGAGAACAGCTATTTTCGGACGTATCCATACAAACCACAAAATGTTGCAGAAGACATTCTCTCAAGATGGAGATACGTGACGAAAAAACACATGTTTGAGAATATAAATGGGGAACCTAGGGTGGGGTTGAATGGCATGTGGCGAGAAGAACGAGAGTCTATTGAGAAGTTCGTTACTAATTATGGATCATCTAGAAACGACAGTTTTAAGAGTATGCTTCGTAAAACTGATCCATTCTATGGAACTATATATCATGTTAATGTTGAAAAATCAGAACCATCTGGTAACGAAATTTTACAGATTCGCAGAGGTTTTCAGGGCAGTAAACCAAAATTGATTGATATATCATTAGTAGAAGAACGTGAATTGGTTACTGTGATATCACCTGTTATGAAAGTTTCTCAACGGTTTCATGCTTTTCTAAACAGATTTGAGCATGATATTTTGAGGAACTCAAGAGATGGGTCTGGCAATGTGAAACTTCTCTTTGTGATATTTCAACCTGCAAAAGAAGATGATAGTTCAAAAGAAGTTTTAAAAGTATTGGATAATTTCAAAGCAAAAAATCCCCATGCGTTTGTTGAGCATATTCTTACAACTGGAAAATTCAGTCGAGCTATGGGATTACATCTTGGTGTACAAAAATGTTCAGATAATGATTTGATGTTGTTTTTGGATGTTGATTTGATTGTAACTGATAATTTTTTCAACAGGATACGTCGAAATACTATTCAGAATAAGTCTGTTTATTTTCCTGTCACTTACTCTCAATATGATCCAAATATTATTGACGAAGCAGCTAAAATTGATGGAATTTCATCTGAGATATGCCAAAATAAAATTTCAATAAATGAAAGCACAGGGTACTGGATACATTATGCTTTTGGCATAACATCGATGTACAAATCGGATTATAAGAAAGTTGGTGGTTTTAAATTGGACATTGAAGGTTGGGGAGGTGAAGATGTAGACTTGTATAAAAAGTTTATTTCTGACCCTGACATTGAAGTTTTTTCAGCTGTAGATCAAGATCTTATTCATGTTTATCATAGCAGAGGATGCGACCCAGATCTGCCTCACGATCAATATCGAATGTGTGTTGGAGCATGGGCAGAAACATTGGGTTCGCAGATGGAAGTATCTGCTTTGTACTTATCTAAAACTCAATAACTTTAAATTTCCATTATAATTGAAGTATTGCAAAGTAAATTGCATAGTAATATGATTTGTATTTATTGCCGTAAATGAAATTGGTATCAAATCTAAAAGCTTGGAGAACATTAATTTGAAAAATTCAAAAGGAGGTATTCATATTCTGCTGTTCAGATAACTGAATTAGGACTTGTGTTCATTCAATCTAATGAGACAATACCATATCTATTAAAATGTAATTAAGCATTGGGACCAGGCTTTTCATTATTTTTATCAAGCTACACAGTTCGCAACTCCGAATTTTGTATGTCTTTTTATGGGTTGGTTACTATGTTGACTATCTGTCATTCTTCAATCATGTATCTTCAATTGAATCTTAACTTAATATTATTGAACATAATACATTGGATTACTCTGAAAAAAGTTTTATAAAAGTTTTAATACAGTTCTAACAATTTTTTTCTATTTGACAGCAACTGGAGGGATGGTCTGCAATAAATTTCTGTTAAAAAAAATCATTCCTAGCAATTATTTCTCAAAACACTAAATAATATAACACCTGAAAATGGGTATTGAATAATGAATACACTATAATGCACTATTTATAACTCTCTATACTGACATTATTACTCGATATAATTATACAACATAATTACAGGTTGGTTACTAATTATCATTTCTCTCAATTTCTTATAACCACATGTGAAAGAAAGATATAGCAGAGCTCGATTCAATTTGAAATGGTGTATTTAAATCTGTCTTATTCCAAATGCCCACTAAATACCAATTTCTTTGTGATATATATTTTTATTATGTTTATGTCATATAATCTAATCATATTGAAGCACGAATTTGATACCAATGCACATGTATGTTAATTTTTGTTATATTGACATTTTTATTGCTGTTCACTTTTTGTCATCCTTATGATAGATTGTTTGTATCTTGGTATGGATATTCATAGTGTATTAAATACGAGAGCTTTATAACAATTCCTTGACTATAATTAACAAATGAGGTTGCTAATTACACTTGAAATTCTTTCAATTTTTCTTATACTCTATTTCGAAATATTTATTGTATTATGCCTATAATAATTCTGTATAGTTTTACAATGCCATTTTGGGGGTACGGTATATCGTTTTTTCACATTGCCTTGTTTAGTATTTCTTTGAGCAATCAAATGATTTTTTCCCGTTAATTGTCGATTGCAGCACAATCCTGTATCCCAGACTCTTCATTATTAATGTCTTTCTATATGAAATAAATTGACACAACCACTGTTTTTATTTCAGATAATTAATTATATTAGTATAACCTCATCTTTTGCCAAGACTAAAAAGTGAAGATTTTGCTTATTGTCAAGTCAACTATGGCAGAACCAGAGCTGCTATTAGACTCCAGCATCAGGATATGGGTTGTACTGCCGATCGTTTTTATAACATTTGTGTTTGGTATAATTCGACATTATCTATCTCTTCTCATGAGTTCTGATAAAGTTGTTTCAATCGATCAAATTCGTGATAGTCAAGTTATTTTACGATGTCGGTATCTTCGTGAAAACGGCCATTATCTTCCTCCATCGGCATTTAACACACGAAAGCATTACCTTATTAATGATGAAGATGGACTCATCACTAAGGGGAAGGAAAAGCAAGGCCAAGCAAAGAATCCCATGACTGACCCCTCCATGATGACTGATATGCTTAAAGGAAACGTTCTTAATGTTTTGCCAATGATTGTAATCGGTGGATGGATACAATGGACTTTCTCTGGTTTTGTGACAACTAAAGTGCCATTTCCCCTTACGATTCGTTTCAAACCCATGTTACAGAGAGGTATTGAACTTGAGGCACTTGATGCTTCATGGGTTTCATCTGCATCATGGTATTTTTTGAATGTGTTTGGTCTAAGAAGCATGTACTCCCTCATTCTTGGTGAAGACAACGCTGCAGATCAGACTAGAATTATGCAAGAGCAGATGTCAGGAGCTGCCCTCAATATGCAACAAGATCCTCAGAAGGTTTTTAAAGCGGAATGGGAATCATTGCAAGTTACTCAGCATAGAAAAATGTTAGAATTTGCTCCTGAACGATGTTGTTCTACTCACATCTTTCCAGATGAAATTTACACAGCTGAAATGCCCCATCATAAATCGATTGATGGTTGATTTTATGTGTTCATATGTCCGTTGATATTTGGGAGATTTGAAATTTTCATAACAATAAGATGTTACTTATTTCTTGAAGTTGTCAATGTCCAATTGCCTGTACTTGGCTATAAATTCCATAATTACATAATTTAATATCCTACTACTGGTATGTGTTTTTTTTTAGTATAATGCAGAATTCGAAGAGAGATTGTCATATTATAATTTCGCTGCATATAATTTCAATTTTTTTGTCAATCATTTCCCAATTTCAATCAAACTTTGTGGATATCTCTAGCTTTTGTATTATGACAATGAAGGGATATGTTGGGTGAGTGTTGGGTCCAAGCTAAACCTATTATTTATTGTTATATATTGAAGCAAAATTGAAGTTAATTCTTAAAATAAATAACTCTGTCAAGATCTTAAATAAAACCTATTTTCAATGCCGTGCATGTTTAATTATTTGGTTTAAAGATATGCTAATCGAAAAATTTCATGAATTACTTTTCTTTTAGTCTATACAAGGCTCCAAAGTGTTGGGTGCTTGTCTTAGGGAATAAATTATAATTTTTTTCATATATGTTTTGGGTATGTATGTTGAACACATACACATGTTGATTACAATTTTACAGTCATTTATAATATTGGAAGTTGTTGAAGATTGAATTCATTATTTAGGATGCAGCCTTGAAGTGAAACAGGATAGAAAATGGCCAGATAGCTGGAATAAAACGCTGTTTTTTTTGTCAATCAAACATTGAGAATTTTAAATCTCATTTGGTAAATGTTATCCCTCCCTGTGTTGAACTATATGTTTTAGGGCTTTAATGTTTTGTCAAAAATATTTACTGTTATCATGTCATCGTCATTTGATGTTCGTTTAGAAGCAGATATGTTCTATCTAATTGGTACTGTATTTTAATTTGATGCTGCTAACATGCCTTTGTTTGGTAAGAAATCGAAGAAGACCGAAGCTGTTACTGCAATTGCTGGAAAATATATAAAAAGAGAGTCTTCACCTTTCATATCAAGTGAGTTTACTTTCATAAATAATATTATAATACATCCATTACTTGGGTTGGCACGTCAAGGTAAGTGTTAGGAATATACTTCCAATCCCACCTCTGATAATCCCGCGTTCGTTCGCAGGTTTAAATCCAGTGGGGAATAATTATGTGCGAGTGGATTGCTGGAAACTCCTTTCCACAGTACCTGCCCTGTGGAGTAGTTCGCATACCCCTTCCAGGTTATAGCTTCCTCCATTATCACGTCCATACAACTGACTAACTATTTCCATATCCAACATGGACTGATAACCGGACAAGATGCTATAGTACGCCATATTATTAGGCCATCTTTCTTCTCCCCGTGGATAAATATGACCCTTTATCCTGTACATTTTACTTTCGAGACTTTAGTCTGAGTCTTGATTAAACTTGTTATAATGAATCGGAATGAGAAAAGTTTTCTTCTGAAGTAAATACAAACATTATGCCCTATGTCACAGAAATTCTAATATTTAAAATCAATGCCATGTGATATAATCTAATGCTAATTGTGCTTTTTTACCAAATTCAGATAGACCACAAGCCAATGTGTTTCGACATGGACCTACTCTACAAAGAAGATCACAATCAGTATTCAATGTGTCATCCATCGGTGATGCTTTGCCATCATCGCCCCCAGCATTACCTTCAAATTCCAGACCAGTGTTTTCATCAGCCCAACAACTTTCTCCTATAAATTCTACATCCTCAAATAAATTTACTAACAATTCTGCAGTAACATCTGGTATGAAATTTGGTAGTAATGTCTCACCTCATGGAGGAGACATGGTGTCGATGCCCCAACATCAAAATTTATCTTTCATGCAGCAGCAGAGACTTGCCGGTTCAATGCCTTCATTGCATGTTATACGGAACATGAATTTTTCTAATATGAACAATACGCCTGTGACATCTAATGGTAATATCCCAGTGAAAAATACTCATTTGCCCCCTCAGAGACAGATAAATTCTCAACAACAAAATGAAATTCCTCTCAGTGGACATTCTCATATCCCGTTATCTATATCCACTCAACAACAACAAGTTTCACAGCGATCTTTTCTAAACAACCGTATCACACAGACGCATCTCCCTTCAAAACCAGCAATCTTGCCATCACGCCCTCAAATCCAAATGAATATCCCAAACGAAAGTCCACAGCAGCGTCATGTCAGGATGGCAGAACAAATAACGCCACCCAACCCGAAAACTGTTTACGCGAATCAGGTATATGTGGGACGTGGTCATTCCACAAACAACTTGGACAGAATAGTGGAACAGCAAGCTGAACCACCTCATTTAAAATCTACACCTAATATTGCAATGGCAATCACTTACAGTGACCTGCAATTATCTAACTCCCCTACGAAGCATTCACAATCACAAATGAACTTGCGACTTTCCAGAGAGTCGCTGCATCATGTACAGCAGCAGCCAGCATCGTATATGCCTTCAGAATCATATGTAGAAAATCCACCTGCTGATAGACAAATACAGCACCTTGGTGGTCAAATGCAACCTCATCTCAGTACTTCATTAAATCAAGTCAATCGTTCTCACTATGTTCAATCCATGCAGCATCCACAGCCTCATTACAAGGAGAATACAAGACTAGCGAGTAAGTATTGCTCCTGTTGAAGTTTACTTATTTGTTCGATAGGAATTCATGCATTATTGGGCTTGGACATGGCCTATATCAGGGGTTCTCAAAGTTGATTGACTGCAGGCCTAAATTCGAAGCAGAAGGATATTCGCGGACCAGAAAAGGGGAGCGGCAAAAACGGCTGGGGTTAAAGGCGAGATCAACCGCCCAAATAAAAGTTCATATTCCCTTTTATGCATTCACCTCAAAGAATTCTGAAGAAACATATTTGAATGTTACCATTTGTTATACCATCATTTACCGGTAGTTTGGAAGATACACCATTGACTGTGTTTCAAAAGGAGGTTTGACTAAATGTTTTTAAACTTGGTGAGGTAACAATGATTTTATACAGTGTATTGCCAATTGTGCTATAACTCTTACATTATATCCAGGTACAAATGGTGCAAATATTAGTTTTGAAAAAGATGAACTACCACTTCCACCTGGATGGTCATTGGACAGAACATTGCAAGGACATAAATACTACATTGATCATAACACAAACACTACACATTGGACGCACCCTCTCAACACTGACAGTTTACCTCCAGGATGGGAACGAGTCAGCTCATCAAATTATGGAACTTATTATGTCGATCATGTCAGCAAGAAAACACAATTTGAGCATCCGTTGGATTTGAGGTAATTTTTTTATCAAATATTAATAAATTTTGACAGCATTTTTTATTTCATCTTCATATTTTTGTTATTCTCAGACAAAATGATCAACAAATACATAACAACAATGATCTACCAGCTCCAGAACCAAGTCAGCAATATGATACTTGGAAGAGGAACCAAGTTGTGCCTGCCAATCCATACCTGAGCACAACTGAAATACCAAGCTGGTTAAAAATTTATTCTAAAGCTCCTCAGAGGTAATTGGGTAAAAAAATTTTGCTTATTTATGAATGATAAACTTTGAAAAACTATTGTAAAGAAAACCTAAGCATGAAAATAAGAAGTGTTATTTCTAGTTTCTCAATCCTCATTTTTAGGGCAAAGAATAGTAGTTTTATTCACACTTTACTTGGTGGTTGGCTTACCATGCTAAGAGTTAGAAATGTGCTTGCCATCTCACCTCTTGACTAGCCAGTGTAGCTTCGAATCATGTAGGAGATAATTATGTGAGAGAGGATTGCTGGACTCTTCTCTGTCACATATCCACTGGTCAGTTACGGCTTTCTCCTCCATCAAGTCCATGCATCTGAAACAAAAAACTGGCAAACTAATTCCATACCTGACAGGTAATCGGATGAGAGACTGTGGTTCTCCTTATGATTAGGCTATCTTATCGTCTTCGAATTCTTCAGGATAAATGAAAACCCTATTCTCACATTAATACAGATTATACTCAATCTATCATAACTTTAATCTGGCGGGTGATAATTATTGCATATCTTGGTTTCTTATCAACTGTAAGCAGGCAATTTTGTGATATATCTTTCACTCTTTACTAGCATCTCCTACGTAAAGAGCTGCTATATTTTGGAAGGACTGAATTCTCATCATTTCGGCAACACCTACTTAATTTATCTCACTCTGGGTGAGGTGGTGGGCATTTGAACCTGATGACTTCAACCCATTGTTTAGTCCCTAGGCCCTAGCGCTCACTACCAGTTAGCCCATTATTATTATTATTTATTTATATTCTATTCATTCAGATATGATCATAAATTACGGTGGGAATTGTTTCAAATTCATGAGCTGGATTGCTTCAGTGAAATGTTGACCATGTTAATGAAAAAGGAATTGAAAGAAATTGTGATGAAATATGAGAAATCAAGAGAAAATTACACACAAGAGTTACAACGTCGAGTACAGCTAGCTGGCCGACATACTCAAGGACCAGAAAACAAACATTATTATGTATAATGTGAGATAACGTGAATTTCCTTCTGAAGAAGTAAGGTTGCATGGCATTGTAAGAAGCGGAAAACTGTGTCGCATGTGACCAGTAGTTCCTTAATATATTAAGAGGTACATAAAATTGAGATGGATGATATTCTTGCTGTAAATTTTAGTAATCCCTTTGAATTTTTGAAGATTTCATTTTTCGAATGTGCAAAAAACATTGTGAAATATGCCTTTGTGCCTTTCACATGGTAAAAAATCATGATCAACCTCCACAATCAATCTATTTAAATTCATGAAAACTTTATCCTGCATTTTGATTATTGTCGCAAATTTTTAAATGTTTATCGTTTTAGTTTTGATTACATTATCATGCATTTTTCTACGACCCATTTATCTGCTCTTTGCTCCGAAAAAGGCTGTGCATAAGCAAGCAGCTATTGAAAAGGCCTGGATCTTTCTAGTCAGCATTCCCTACCCAATTTTTTCACATCCCGGGTGAGCTGGTGAGCATGGGAATGGGATTTGAACCAGAGATTTTAACCTGCAAATTCATGAAATCCAAATCTAAATCTTTAACGACTAGGCCCAATACGCACATGGACAATACAAATGCTTAATATGTTGGTCCGCTCAATATGATTCCAATCTTCTGCCATTCTGGATACCATAGTCTGAGAAGCCTGTGTTTCTATATTTCTTGGAATATGCCACATGTGTACCGATTATGGATATATTTTCGATGCTGTATTTTGCACATGCACTGGCATAGAGTGAAAGATATAATCAGAAAGTATTGCAACTCGGTGTTAAATGTTTATTAGAATTGCATATTCCATGTTTTTTTATTGAATATTATGATCTTGTTTTTTTATTACATCTTGCCATATGGAGCCACGTTCGAGTGATACATATATTTTTGTAATCTTGTGCTATTATATATTTGTTCTTAAATAGGTTTTTATTGCTCCGGTGCTCTAAGTGGCCTTTCACATACATAGAATATCATATAGATTCAATTTTGATTTCATATAATTATTCAATCTTTACGGTAAATTTGATTGCAAATCAGGAAATAATATTTTTTAGGAATGGAAGTACGGTAATACATCAAGCCCAGTGATATTCAAAAAGCAAAGATTTACTGTTTTTCATCTTGACATTGTGAAATAATGATTTATCATTTGTATAGATGTCGATGGCAAATTTCATATCTAAATAATTAGATGTTCTAAATTTCTGTTATGTATTGTAAATGGATATAATTAAAATGTATTATTATTATCACTTTAATACTATCTTGTTCAAGGATAAGCATAGCAACTGCCCCATTCTGATCTGAATTAAAAAGAAAGAAGAGATCGATAAAAAATATTCTAGTCTGAAAGTTATTCATGTCAAGTAACTAACGCAGTGAATATTTCATAAGAATGGGTGATTCTAATTATCATTTCTATTATTAATTTCAAAAATCGAACTTTTCTGAACCCGTTGGTATAGTACATGAGTATGACTGGTACCCATATCATGTTTAGATTTGTTGTTGCACTTCATCTAAAAAGTAATCTTTTTCTAATTGTTATCAATGAAAATCTATTGGCATCATTGTGTGACAAATACTTATCAAATGAATAATTCTTCATGTAGAATGAAATCTTTTAACATTTCTGTACTACCCATGAAGTGTTTTAATATATTTAAATATGTGAGGATTTAATACTTTTTCTGTAATTCTAATAATCCATATTTTCTTGAAAGTTGTCAAAACATTGTCTGAATCATAACATTATGAATCCTTATTCATCAATGAGCAGATGGCCTGTTGTAACAAGTACCGGTATATTTCGGTTCCATTTTGGTGTAAAGCTTTTAGCTTAAAGCTTAGGCGTAACTTTTTGGCCTGTTCTATAGTATTGGTATTGGATAATATTCTCATATTCATTCTGGGTAGGGGAAAGCCGATAAAATGGGCTTGTCATATGGCGAGCCACAGCCTCTCTTGCCCAGTTATCAGTTCATGTCTGGTATGGATATAGTTGGCCAGTGAATCGTTCCTGATACGAACTATTCGGATTTCTTTACTTTCTGTGCTGCAGGAAATAGAGTGTATCTTTCAAGTTGAAAAAGATAGGAAAGTTGTTAAGACGAATTAATCCTATGGCGAACCACGGCCTCTCGTCCGGTTGCCAGTCTTAGGGACAGTCTATGGCGGATATGGGATTAGTTAGTCAGTTACTTGTTTTCGGAAACATGGACTTCATGGTAAAAACTTTTGAGGAGGTCTCGCGGGCCGCAAGTCGGAGAAAACCCAAAAGTGATCAAAATATCGCGAGTTTACTTACTTCAAATTTCCTTTAAAGAAGATATATAAAGCCTTCAGTTATTTCAAAGATAATTCCCGAGAATTACAGTTGTATTTTGCGCATCTCGCGTTTAATGTCTCTCCAAATTATATTCTTTCGTGACAGATATTACTTGAAATCAAACCAGACACTGTGTGATGGGCAAAGAAATACGTTTCCGCCGTGTTTTCCTTATGTCACCTTTCTTGCGACACTCATTTTATTACGAATTGTTATATTGAGTAATTCAAAAACTTGCAGCGTGTTTAATGGTTAATCCGTCGCTGATTATATATTATCGCGTGTACACGAACACAGAAGCGGCGAAAGTAGATAGGTACCATTGTGAAACATCCCCGAGGTAATTGTTCAATTTTCAACAAATTAGTTGTAAGATGCCACCTTAGCACGGCGGGCTTATGCACACCTACCTATTTTGTCACTGGCAACATCCCATCTGAAATTGATTAACTGCTCACTCATAGTGGTCCTCTCCTAATTAATGACAATTATTGGCCTTTCAAACTTTGTTAAAGGACAGAACAGCTCAATTAAAGGACTATCTTTTAAAATAAGAGACGGTTGACAACCCCACCTAAGAAGCAAAGATGTAGGCTTACGAAATCATTGAGAAATGCCGACCTGCGATTACGGGACGGAGAGTAGGCTCTCACCATGAGAAGACAATCTTCTCTCATATAACATAGCTCGTCGTTTTCAGTATGTACCAATTCATGCTAATTACTGGGAGAAAAACGCGTATACTTTATCAAATAAATAAATCCTTAGTGGAAGCTTTCCCGTTGTGTGTTATTCGAGGCGACTTCTTCATAACTTTCAAATCCCTAAATAGATTGCTTAGTTTTAAATATGATATATTTTACCACAATAAAGTGGGCTAACTTTGAATTATTCTGTAATATGATATGGGAATTATATATATATACGTAGTTCATTTTCGTAGGATCGAATAGCAGGAATTTGCGCTCAAATATCAAGTAAAATTAAATAGGCCAGACGTTCTTGTTTCCTTAAGATGGGAGAACAATTCATATTGGTTGTGAGACGGCTCCAAAATAGTTACCTTCGGCAGCATTAAGCCGTGCATTTGGCCAGCTGTGGTATTACTTGCGTCTGAATCCTACTTTAACTACTACATTGTCTGAAGACATTTGAATAATTCAAAAAAAAAAACCTTAAATTTTACATTGCTTCTGGTTCGCTGTACTCGTCTTGTGTAAATGCACTAAATCCTTACTCTTAACTGCTCCCAAAAGCAAGAAATATCCGATTTTGGACGTGTTTTATATATTAATTAGTCTGGCTGGGCGAAACAAGTGAAGCGAAACTGTTGCTAACCTTATAGTTGAAATCGTTGAATCAATTTGAATATGGGAAAAACCATTTCAGCATTACCAATCCTAGTTGTAATATTGCTGCCTAAAATGCAACGCCTCTAAACTGGGAACCAATATATGGAACGCATGGTTTCACACGTTTATTAATTTCAAAATAAATAAAGCAAATACTGTAGCCTCTGCTAGATGGCATCAATGCGTTGGTAAAATAAAAAAAATTATAATCTATGGCGCTTAAAGGAGGGGAGGGGGCATCAGTGGTAATGCTGCGAATGAAAATACGTTGATTAATTAAAACTTCGATCTGTGGCATGCATTTCAAAGAAGCACTATTCATTTTGAACAAATAATTCAAAAATTTATTTAAAGATTACGCTTTGCCCCATCTGCATATGACTCCAGACTTTTGCTAATCCAATTATCGTTAAAAAGTCAATTTCTTAACCAAAATTTGCATCAATGTTAGAATTAATAAGTCAAAGGCGACATTATGTCAAAACATTTCAGTCGTTCCATATTGATCGTATTATTCCAGAATTGCTACCGCCTTTTATGACATGCATCTGCGCCAACTTAAATGCAAATAAAAAAGATAATAAGTGCCTTTGTAACTCAGAAACGAGAGTATTTTATCCACAACGCTTTTGGGTTTGATTTTCAATCTTTTTCCACTTTATAGTGAAGGTGCTTTTCCGTTGGTAAAGTTTTTATTATAGCACACTCATGAAAGGCAAATCGAGGTCTTCAAACTGCTTTCTTGCAAGGACTGTTTTGCATTCCTTTAATTCCTCATTCGACTAACCAGGTCAAACGCTGTGTGACTCAAGCTTATGTGACGTCATTTTGTTGCATTGAGTTCTTCAGAATCCGTTCAATAACAGGAAGTAAATGTGCATTTGCGACGATGATCACACTTTTGAAAAGTTGAATAAATAAAACCTAACTTTTTTTCGTATTCACTATACTGAAGTTGCAGAAATTCGAATCTATTTTGTGCTTTTTAAATGAGGCTATGTGGGGCTTAAGTACACAAGCAATTTTCGACCTATTCCAAATTAAAAATTAAATTAGTTTTGTTTTCAATCTCTTCGAACATATTTCAAACAGTAATAAGCGATTGCCAACGATAGTATTTTAGCAGTCTTAAGAAGGTTGTTGCTAGAAGGCATGTGCTTTGGATAAGTTGTATTGATTGTTCGTCAGGTTATCCAGGATTTGGCAGACAGTTATTTGACATAAGATTAGAAATGCGTCATCAGTAAACGAGGGACCTATCATAATGCCCGCACAACGGGAGACTTTGGGCTACATGCATCCAACCTGCGCCTGTGTTCGCAGAGTTGAAAAAACTTCCGCGGTCATATTTACTGTCTTAAAATAACGTGTAGGACGTTACGATGCATGTAAGTGTTGTCATGGTATAAATTAATAAAAAGTTTTGAAGATGTTATCGTAGACTTTTAATAAATTATGAATGGCAATATGGTGTAAATGCGTCTTCGAATAACGACTCGCAATATAACAAGTTCTTTTTGTACATATATGTTTCAAGTTACCGGCGTATATCGATGGCGCAATGTAACACGGACAAAGTTATTTAAACAATAAATTATTAAAAATGAAAAATAAATTATACAACCATTTGATTAGTTTGCAACCTAAGTTTGCACTCGTAAAATCTATACATATGATGCATATTACGAAGTCATCCCGCGACACGACACGGAGTGATCCTATGGATCGTTTCGCTAAATTGTTGTTGTTGTCTACTGTTAAAGCGGGGAAAAAAGGTCGAACAGACTGAACCCCATTTGATACTTTAGTCACGTTATGGCGCTCGATAGTACGATAGTTTGTATTGCCCATCTACGCAGGACTGCACCATTACGTTGTAGGTTATTTTGACAAAAAAAGTGCGCGCACATCCAGTCATCTCTAAAACGTCAATATACATTTGAATTATTTCAATGAGATTACGCTTGCTTATTACTTTGAGATAGGCACAACGCTTGCACAAAAGTTTATTTAAATCCGAACGCCGATGATGGAAGTAAATAACATTAGACGCAAACTGAATTTCTAAAACTGGAATTCGTTTAAAAAAGAAATGTCAAAGTGTAATTATGACCAGGTAAATCATAGAGTGACGTTTCTTTCGATTTTTTTAACTCGTGTTTCCACGTATTTGATTGCACATAAGACAACATAATCTCTTCACATGAAATAGCAAGTTAATTAGTTAGGTTTCGTTACACTTGCTACTTCGTGGATAGAGATTATGTTGTTCTTGTTTATCTTTCCAATATTATAGTTCAAACATCTTTATGAGAACTGCTGGACACGGATCCGAAGTAGGATATAAACAAGGAGGAAGGACTTGCAGTTTAATACACAATATCCTAGTGCTCTCTATTTGAGAGTAAATACATAAACACGGGCTATGATAAATCATATCGGTGTGACTTCACTCCTATCGGAAATTCTTGTTCTCGGACGCAAATTCTGATGGATACTTTTATTTTTCTGACTTGTTATTTTAAAAGCTTTTCGAGGTATTGAATTAAACTTGCAATATACGATTGAAATTTAGATTTGTTAAATTAAATTCCCGTTTTTGACATAACCACGAAAAACTTTAAAATTAGCTGGTTTTCCTGTTACCCCTTGGCGTGAGCGTGAATTGATTTTCAGACTTCTTGTTCCATATACTGTAAAACTCGCGAGATCGACCGCGCCAATACGACCTATGCGTCACACGATTTGAATCCAATCGTTCGCGTAAAAAATTGGTTCAGTACGTTAAGCAATTAATTCCTACTACAATAGATCTTGTTTACTACTGACACAGAACGTTCTTCATAGCAAAATTATAACATCTTGGCTACAACAAAGGGTATGTGGCATCTATTATAATATTCCGATGCTTTTTCGTGAAAAGCGAGAGAAAAACATTCGCCACGAACAAAATTTGGTGTAGACAGAATAGACAGGCGCATATTACGTCTACATCGCAGAGAGAAACAGTTGCAGAATGTTTATAGATTAGATACCTTAAACGGCATTCTAGACAAAGAATATATTCGAACCTGAGCAATTTTTAGCAGCTGTATTTATATTATTATTCAACGTTGTCAAATTGTTTAGCTTAAGATGAAATTTTAGAAGTAGTCAGATCGGATACATTTGAAATGTAGATCAGTCATTACTACTGGCCTCGGATATTGTATCTACTGGAGATATATATGAAACAAGTCTTTTCTCCTAAAGTTTCAGTTTCTATGGGAAAAGAACGAAGATAATCTGTAATTTTGAGTATACGCTTGAAGCATTCGCGAGAAGTTGAGCAGAATTGTATGAAGATGATTAAATGGACAAATTTCTTTGCTCGCTGCATTTGCGCTGCACTTGAAGAAACAAAAAATAATTAGAATTCAAGAGTTTTAATGAATGAATTTAATGAATGCGTAGCACGGTTGTATATATGGTATTGATATAAATATAAATATTCGATTTGCCGATTGTACACATACGACGACGACGTGTGTACCGTACCATAGGGTCATCAGTATCTTTGGGTATATGTTATTATTGTATTGCATAAGCAGCTCGCGCACTTCTTCGTGAAAAATAAAGTATAAATGGATCGAAACAACGTACCAAGCGACCAGACGAACGAAAAATTTGGTTAAGTGCTAATCGAAGGAATACTATTTTTATTATAGGATTAACTGCCACGCGAGACAGTTGAATTAGAACAATTATTATATATTAGTATTCTCAGCCATATGTCATGTGATCGTCTCTGGTACCGGAGCTTACTTGCGGACACGAGTTGTAGACGGGTCCTATATTTTTAGCTGATCTCGTTTCCAATCTAAACCCACGCGAGTACCCAGATCTATCTTTATTTGAAACTGGCGAACTGTAAATTCATAATTGCCCAATCGATTAATGCATAAGTCATCTTCGACGCCGTTTGACCACCAGTTCTACACAGATTGTTACTTCCAACAAATTTAAAACAATGTTTGCTTAATGAATTTGCTTAAGCCTGAAATCAATTTCTATTATTTTGTTTCAAAATGCGCATTTGAACAATTAATGATCAACAATTAACAATTCCAACTGTATTCGGAAACTTTTTCGTCATTTTGTTTATGACATTGCTGGCGACTTTATACTCTTGAGTTAAATCTCAATCATCAAAATCTTCATTCCAACATGTTTACGTCGAAATTGTTCGTACCTCTACATTCGATTGTCTTGCGAAACATTAACCGTTTGTTTCCCCCAATCACGTTTTCCTAAAGATGACTGACTGCGGGTAACTGAAGTCGCGAAAGCCGATTATTTGCGTCTAAAATGTACTAGATGTCTACAAACTAGTATTTTATGTCGACCTAACGTCAAATTTTAACACATGGGTTTCAAAGATAATTTACTATGACTGCGACAAATGTTTTTACTTGGAACATGAAGTGTGATAGAATAAAGCTGAGAGAGAGAGACATCGACGAAAATACCTTGGTAGTATTTTTATGATTTGTAGACTTTTAATTGTTTACTGAAGCGCTCCTTTCGAAACATTTATGACAGGCGTATAAATAGTCAGGTCACAGCCTATCCGGAAATTGCCAACCGCAATCAGGCACCCTCACCCTGTGGCCACAAATGAATCGTGCCCGATCGTCTCATTTTCCTATGTCCGTGCTTTTTATACCAAAATTGTGATCAATTCTCGAGGTCTTCGGTGGTTACGTGAATGAATTGCATTTAATACGTTTGACCCGCTTGCGTTCGTTGTTCGTGCCGTAAGCCAGTTTTGTCAACCGCGTTTTAATTCAAATAGGCTGAATAAATATCTTGAGCTTTAACGCAAATAAATTTTTAATAGATATTGACATTCTATCGATAGGGCAATTTTAACGTAATAAAATTCTAACAAAAAGGCGTACGACGATGGCTGCTTGCAGGTGATGTTTAAGAAGACCAAACTTCTGTCAGAACAAAGAAAAAGATATGAACAACTCAACAACGATATCATCATTGTTTCTTAGTGAAGAAAATGTATCGGTATCGGCCACCATAAGTTTTCCTGTTATTGTGGTGGCCTGCGCAGCAGCTGGGTTATGCAGCCTTTTGACTGTATTCGGAAACTTTTTCGTCATTTTGGCGTTCATTACCAACAGAAGCCTTCGGAATTTCAGCAATTATTTGATTTTAAACCTTGCCATCAGTGATATTATAATCGGTGAGTGATTTTGCATTTTTTAGCTATTTATATTTCAAGAATCGTCATCACTTCCAGGATATCGCTACAATATATATGTTTCACTGTTCATTCTACGTCTAAAATTAAAGATTTCCCTACTTTTTTATAACATTACTTTGGTACAACGATAGTAAATTTATCCATGAAATAATAATTTTTTGAGTTTTACGAAATATACATTTCAACCAGAAATGATTTACACTTCGCTCCTAAAAAGTCATTGGGTAAGGGTTTAATAAGCCTTGAGTCGGGTGTAGTAGGGTGAACTGGGATGCATATAAACAGCCCGGCAATAGTTCGGTACGACAAAATCAACCCAATTTATTTTACCACGACAAGGCGATTCGACTTGGATTTGAACTCGAGATCGTTTTCTGCGTCGCTGACATAGTGAGGTGAAACTACACTGACCAGTACCACAAGGCATTAAAATTTGAAATCAAATTGAAAAGTATGATTCAAAAATAAATAAGGGCTGTTTGAGGTAGCAGATTGCTTTAATTGTTGAAATAATAAAGCAAAATAACTACACGAGAGTTATGTTTATCTTAGAAAATCCTGATTTTTTCCATAGACATGTAGGAAAACTATAATTTTATATGAAAATTAGCTTTAAAAAACGCCTGTGTTTCAGTTGATGGGTGATATACCGTTAATGATCGATATACATGGCTTCAACTATATTTCAATCATTTTAAATGTTTCTTGAATTTTATATATGTATGCGTATACGCATCGTATACTAATACGATAAGATATTATAATTTTTATTTTGTACCTCTAGGAACTAATTTGATGACTCAATAGTGTTGAATTAGATTTTCGTGATCGTTTTATAATCATGAATGCAGTAGGCAAAAAATTCGTTCAAATAGTTATTTTTTTCGTGTGGACAGTCCATATGGCAAATTCAATCGATTATGTTAATTGTAAAATATATTTGACTGAGTTGTAATTAGTGCTTTCATTAATTGACAATGCGGCCCTATACTTTAACTTAACTATACATTGATTAGTATATCGTTATTAACTTCGATTTGATGTAAAACCAATATTTTCAATTAAATGCATATATGGTATGTAATACAATAATCGTGTGTTTGAAAGTAATGTTTAATTTTAGGCCTCATTAATATTTTGTCAATTTCCATGATTTTAGGCGTAGTTTCTTTGTTATTTTAATATTTTAGGTAAGCGCAATTCATCATAATTTATGACCGCATTTTCAGGAGTTATATTGATGTATTTTAGGAAATCATGGTACCGTTACAAACGATACTTTCATCGAAAACACTGCCTAAAATTGGTGTTGCAATATTATTTATTTTGGGATTTTTGGCTTATTAACTAAATCACTTAGGGCAGCAATTTTATGTGTTGCGGTCAATTAACCGCTTTAACAAGTGTCACCCCTGCACAGGCCCCGATGACACGAAGGCAGGCGAAATTTCTGGTACTTCTTTTCTGATCCTGCTTTGAGCGTTTCTTCTCGTGGTAAACACTTTTATCGTGTTACGTATATTCGCCGGAATATTATGTTGACTAATACATACCAGTATGGTATCGTTAGAACCTTGGTCGAACTTTGTTGTATCGCCGCTATCGGAGACCCTCATTATCGGTCGTTCTGCCTGTCTGTCTGTCTGTCTGTCTGTCTGTCTGTCTGTGTGTGTGTCTAGCTTCGGCGTCTTAACGCTGGACCGATCTACATGAAACACCACACGCTGGTTTTTCCGTTACCCTAATACTGTGCGTTTTATAGAAAGTTTGGATTAAAGTTTCGTTTCCACGGCAACAACGAAAAAACGCGCCGATTGTTATGAAATTTTCAATTTTTCCACAATTTATCGCCGCTTTCGCATTAAACAAGTCGAAAATTAAAATTCCAAGAACGCTAACTTCCGCAAAAAAAAAATACTCTTTCGAACAAGTCGTCTTTTGTCTCGATACTCCATGAACTGGAGACGCCTTAGGGATTTTAGTGAACATCATTTCAATCATTAGGTACAGTATATCATCACGCGAGAATGTCTACGAAACGCACAGGGTTCAAATGAACTGGCAGTTTCTGTAAACTGCTCCTTTAATCACGCTGCCGTTATAGATCAGCAAGTTTCTGTGGATGGTAACTGGTTGCCTAAAGTGCGGGCCTCAACTATCAGCGGAGATCCTGGGCGCCTGCCGGCTTGTTCTAATTTTGTGCCGCTTTCGACATCCCCAAGAAACATATTTAAAGCATATTTATAACCTGCACCATTGTTTTAGAAGTTAATAAACTGAAGATATTCGACCTAATATCGCGATACTGAGCTTTGAATCCGGAAAAATTAGTCCGGCCGAATTAATGGTATAGCTCAGTGATCCTAAACTTTGTAAAATAATTTCGAGTGTGTCGCGAAATACCAATCCATATTTTGAAAAATCAGGCCTCATGTGCCGCATTCAGAACGTGTCATAAAATAATAATAAATTGTTAAAATTACTGTCGATAGAGCAGTATGCGATATGCGGATATCCGAAATCCATATCCATCCGTTATTACCGTTCATAAGCTTAAAAGCCAGATTATGTGCAGCATTAGTTAGATGTGCTCGCAAAACTCTTCTTTGTCGTAATTTGGTCAATTTTTTTCTCAACGCATCATAATCTGTATTGAAGAAAGTGAACTCGTTGAATATTTAGGAACCTCTGATATAGCCAAATGAATCAATTTTTGCCTCTATCAAATGGATGGCTAATATTATTTCTCGAAATTTTAGTTGATTCTAAACTCAAACTCTAACCCATGTCGGGATGTACTGCCCTGATTGCGACTTTGTTTTGCTACCACATAATTGACTGCGGAAGGAAGTCGAATCATATCAAATTATAACATTGAATTTATTTCTAATATCTGACACAATATGATGCTTAATGTAAATACTGCTATTCTTCTTTGTTTTGTATCTATTTTTAGTGATGACCTTTCTTGTATTATAAGATAAAAACTACACCACATGTACCATATGTTCTACCCCGCTTAAAAATCTCATAATTCATGCCTTGAGCCTCAGAAGCCAAATGGAAACCCATGGGACAAGATAAAGATAGCACATGCAGGATGTAGATAATCAGTGTAGTGAATCTTTTTGACAAAGCAAAGTAAATTTGCATGTTATCGCTCTGATGTGATGTCTGTCAAAACGAATAAAATGAGGACTGAAAAATGTCTTGCCTATAAAATTTCGTCGTTTTGTTTCAAGTGCTAAAATTAAAAAAATAATCGAATCCATCGTTTTGTGAAACCCGCGGACAGCGAGGACATTTTTCAATTCTAATTAATAAAAAAAAAAACTCAAATGCCTAAACTCCATATATTTATGAAGAAAAATCAAAACAGATAGCGCACAAATTACTTTTAAAAACAATTTGACATGAATCCTGGATTTATTACCCTATTTTATTGCATATATAATAACAAAAAATCGTGTGAGATGACCAATTTCATATTTCATTTTACAACAAAAATGGATCTACATTCAGTAGATCACCGATTTTTATGACGTCATAAACAATTTTTGTTTTCAAACCTAATTATTTGTTATGTTACATTAAGGCGAAATTGTCATCAAGTTGGAATCAGAAAAGCACTTATTGCGGAAGAAAAAACAACTTTAAACGGGAAGCTATTCCTGTAATCCTTGTTTGTTTCTTGGTATATCGCCCCTTGTTTTTTTATCATTTCAATTCGTTTAATGAGTCAGCGAATTTCCTTTTACAAAGAAATAATACTACGGATTCTAATGCGAAATGAACGTCCCTTAAAAGCTTTCAACCTTCACTTAAATTGAGGGGGAAAATAATAAAATTCACCGAGTTTGTTGTCAATTAGTTAAATTAAATTACGTACAGGACTCGGGACGAGATTTTGTTTAGTAGGTCGAAATAACACGGAAAAGAATCCCAAAACGACACGCAGTCTTAACACGGCCGAAAAATATGTGAGCTCACTTATTACGTATATATCGTTGAAACCATCTGATCATAGTCGGACTTAGCTGAAAATGGGATATTCATATATGGCCAGAAATCGGAATATCGGCAGCGCACAACATCAATATTGATTTTTAGCTTGTTATATGGATTCAATTTTGTCGGAAGACCTTCTCTGAGGTTAATTTAATTTTTAACTTTAATGCCATCGTACAAGATGTTAATTATGTTTATAGCATGAGAAATATCCACATCCTCAGATTAGGGGATTCGGAAATCGATGATGAACTAATGCCAAAATCTTGTACGAACCTTTCGTGTCGGATTTTCGTGGATTCATCGGGAAAATTATTATGTTAGGCGGGGAAGAAAGTTAGTTAACCAAACCGTTTAAGATATTCTAAAACTTTTCGGTATTTTTCCAAGCATAAGCCACTCGTCGAGGGTATCCCGCACCTAGCCTTATTTTATTCGAGCGTCTATCTCAGACTCAGAAAACTATTATAAAATCAATATTGAAGTGAATTCGATTCTTGGAATGCATTTGGTGGTATTAAATTACATATTATATAATCTTTACTGAGAATCACTCTTTTTATTGTATAAATTTTTTGAATTTATTAAGAGCTTTTGTTGATATAACAGAATACAAGATTTTAGGCAAACCTATAGTCCGTTAAAAACGCTGCTTTGGCGTGTAACAAAGAAATCAATGATTTTAATACATTTTCGTGCTATATTTCCAAAATAACTTATCGTTATATATATAGCATATTCAAATTTACCGTAATGTACACCTTTCCACAAAAATATCGAAACGAAACGCGAGTATAGATCTTTACTTAGTTTATCCATCAATATAGTGGATGAGACTGCCGCCAAATGGCCTAGTCTTTATCGCGATTAAACGTCTGTGATGAATTTTTATTTTTGGCATCATCCCTATTCTGTTCCGGATCAGGTGATTATATCCGTTAAATTTTTTTTGTTTATATACGCTACCAATT